AGAGGGGTTTCTTGCAATTCTTAATGAAAACAGAGTTCCACGAGTCTGGGCCCGGGGCTGAGTGCATAGGCATGTTGTCAATGGCTTTTTCGAAATTTATCGGAGTTAAGGTAATGTGGGAAATGTAGCATACATTTATGGAGTTTTGAGGCTCATTCATGAAGAAATCATTTGGGTTGTCGATCCTCAGACCGATTAGTGGTTCACTAAACACAGAGTCGTACTGGATTTCAATATTTCACTCATTTCCTTGTTGTCATCTGTGTAAGTCCCATCCTGTCTAAGTAAGGGCCCGATACTAGATGTGGTATTTGCCTTTATTTTTGGCATATGAAAAGAAATATTTTGAATTTCTTTCAATTTCACTAATAGGTTTAAGCTCCTCCTGCCTCTCCTGGTTCCTTTAAGAGTCATTTAGCTTAAGTTCGATAGTTTCCACTTCCCTGGTCAGCGCCTCCTTTTGTGTATCAGATATTCTAGCACTTCTGAGGAGCTCATTGACTCTTGGTCGTCTTCTGTAGAGGGAGCGTCTTTTTCTCTCCAGTTTACTTCTGCTCTTCTTCTTTCTTAGGGGAATATGCCTAGAACATGCTTCGGCTACCAGGAAGTTGATCCTTTCAAGGCACTGGTTTGGATCCATGTCATTTAAGACATCTTTCCAACATGTTTCGTTTAGGACATGGTTTACCTGGTGCCAGTTGATGTTCTTGTTGTTGAAATTGTATTTTGTGAAGACACCTTCACAGGTACATGCATTCTGCTGTTCAGGACCCCTATGCATGTACGTCTGGACTTCGATTAGATTGTGATCCGAATTAGTTGTTTTTGATATTCTTATGTCTCTTATCAGGTCCTCATTATTTGTGAAGATAAGGTCAAGTGTGTTTTCTAGTTTTATTGGCTCCACTATCTACTGGCTTAAGGTGCATTTTTCGCAGAGACTTATTAGCTCATGTGTGTGTGACCTTTCATCTGCGCTACCTTCGGGGATTGTTTCAGGTATAACATTATTTACTACATTCTTCCATTTTGTATACCTTAGGTTGAAATCACCAAGCAGTAAGATGTTTGGAGCTGGAAGGTTTTTCAAACAGTAATCGATTTTCAGTAGCTGTTCCTTGAACTATTGTGAGGTTGCATCTGGTGGCTTGTATACAACCACAATGACTAGGTTTTGGTTCTCGATCTTTATTGATAGAACTTCAACTACCTCATTTGTAGTGTTCAGCAACTCCGTGGAGATATGGGACTCTGACACATCTAACCACTTATGCATATTTCACTGTCAAAGTGATCTTTTGTGTGAGTCTCTATGAAGGGTGCAAATATTGCATTAGACTCCACTAGAAGTCCACTGATAAAAGGTATTTTGTTGTTGGTGGATGGCTTAAGGCCCTGTATATTAGCAAATATGAACGAGGTTGTATCCTGTGTTTGTTGGGGGGATTTTATTATTGGCATCAGTAGTTGTAATTCTGGAGGGCCATGGGTCGCCAGTGGCTGCGCCTCCAGTCCAACAAGGCTCCAAGGTGGTGGACTATTTTTATTTCCTTCCATTTTCTTTTTTCATTTCCTGCCACTAAAAAATCACCTGGAGTTGGGTTGTCGTAGCTACTATTGTTTGTCTTGTGGGGTGTGTGCCTCCTGGTCCCTTTTAGATGATATGCAGGGCACTCGATGTTGTAACACTGCTTCTGGAGGACCGAGGAGTGGCACATTTTTGGGTGAAAGAAAGTACAGGAAGAAGAACGACACACTCCTTTAGACAGGAGGTTGCTACATTCACTTTTAGTTGAGAATTGTTGGGAGGTTTATTGTCAATTTGTGCAGGTTCTTGGAATGCATTATAATCCTCAATATCCAAGCCAGGGCCACCCCGTCTTGGATTCCATCTACTTTCCCCAGTAGAGGAAGGAGGAGGAGGAGGAGGAGGAGACTCCTCTCCAACATCTATACTGTGGGCCACGGTCTTGTGCAATGATGGTTGTATATTTACTTTTTTTGTGGTGTCACTAGGAGAGTGTGGGCTAGCAGTAAGGCTGGGTGGTGGGGGTGGGTGTAGGTCAGCGGCTGGGCCAGTACCAGCACTATAGGTATTAGTGCTATGACTGGGGGATGGGTCTGGCTTAGCACCATCTGGGTGACTAGATAGTTTCGAGTCATCTGTTGTGGTATGGACATTCTGCATTTTTTGGTAGACTATCCAAGAGGTCATCCTTGTTTTCTTGATTATTTTTATAATTTATTACTTTTAGTACGTTTGTGATACCTGCCCAAAGTTCTACATCTTTATTGCACAAACATATAATTTTATATTTTGAATTTATATAGTCTTATGCTGGTCAATATTTTTTTTTTCTCTCTATCATTTATACTTAAGTTTAACTACCTGGCAAGGGTATATAATTGGGGTAGGCGGACGCTAGGGTTTTTTAGTTTACAGTTGTTTTATCATAAGATTTGGAAGCCATGTGACGGGTTAGGGTGACAGGTGATTTGTGCGCTCATATTTCAGTTTTGTAAAATGGCTTATGGTAATTATTAGGGTGTACTGTTTTGGTTTGTATTTTTTTTTTTTTTTTTTGCATTTTGGCTCCAGTAAAAAAAAAAAAGGTATGAACGAATAAAATTTGATTGATGGTGGTTTTTGATTGATGTACATTGTAACATTGGCATATGGGTTCTATACCAGTAAAGTTTACATACTGGAATATATAGCGAGTTCAAAAGGTTGTTAATGTACTTGTAATGAAAGTTTTCACTGGATAGGTAATTATGTGTATGGTGTGAAGAGGAATAGTATCTGCAGGGGGGAGGGGGGAGGTTGAGCGAGTAAGTTATTTCACATTCGACCTTATGGCCGACACACATGGGGTTTTAATAATGATTGTACGTGGTAGTGTTAGGAACTTTGAATTGATTGCATGTCATAAATATGTACTAACGTCATATTATTATTATAATCAAGGGGGAAGCGGTAAACCCGGAGGATTATACAGCTCCTGGGGGGGGGGGATGTGGAAGGCATTCAGGCTTAATTCGGGGAACTGGAGCACAGATTCAATTCACTAAATCAAGAGCCCCTCAACAACATCAAGGAACCTTCCTTGAGGGGACTAACGTCATAGATTGTATAGTGAAAACTTTTGTATTATTTGTGGAGTTGTGATTTTATGTACCTGATGTATTGTACATAAAGTTTAAGTAAAATGTAAGAAAGAAAACTTGGTTAGTTGTAGTTTGAGGAGGTAGAGTCAGAGTGGTTGTCACTGACTTGACTGGTCACTACGAGGTGACTGATCATGTTTGATTTTTTTTTTTTTGTTGATTTGTTTTAGTATTTTATATATGTCTTAATGTTTGTATAATCCTTAGCAGTGCATTTTTTTTTATATAGCACTGTGGTATATTATGTATTATTTTTCGAGTAGTTGAGGGAATTATTCTTGAATATTAATTTTGTACTTTTGCAGTATATAATGATTGAAAAGTATACATCTGATGGTAAAGACTTCATGGCACTTAAGATAACTGTTATGAAATCAGAATCCTACTCTTTTTTGCCATGTATCTCAGCTTCATTGCTGCGCTGTATAGCCCTTGTGGTTTAGCGCTTCTTTATTATAATAGGGAAGCAGAAGAGAATTGGGCAAGTGGTTGACTTGTTGCTGGCAGGGAGGCACACAGCAATACCCAGTGTGACGTCAATTTAGTTTGTCAAGGCTGGTGAAGTAACCTCATTGTTTACCAAATTTCACCGAGTCTGATGGCCTTATTCAGTGCATTTTTAAAACGTGTGTTGTGCACATGTCACCGAGAGTTAAGCCGTCATATATAATGCGAGTTTATCATGAATTGACGGTTTTAATTTTCTGGTAACTCTTCGTGTTTACAAGGAAAGTTTGCTATTGGGAACATGGACGTTGGTTTGATGATGGAAATGATTATCATTTTATTGATGGAACAGATTAATTTATTTTGCCGAGTGACTGACTAATTAACTGATTGGTTAGGGAGTTTGGTGATGGCAGGGACTGGACGTTGTCGGCTGGCGCCAAGAATGGTGTTCATTAGTAGTCACCTATTTAGCTATTTGTGGTTGCAGGGGTCGAGTCTTAGCTCCTGGCCCCGGCTCTTCACCGGTTGCTACTGGTGTGGGACAGTGCAAGTTGTGTGGACACACGCGAAGTATTTTTTTATAACAGTTAAGGATATTGTGTGGACACTATAGCGAAGGTAAGCGTGTATACATGTATGCATATATGTATGTGTATATATGTATATAATAGAGAGAGAGAGAGAGAGACAAGGGTGTATTATATTATTATTATTATAATAATCAAGGGGGAAGCGCTAAACCCGGAGGATTATACATTATAATCAAGGGGGAAGCGCTAAACCCGGAAGATTATACAGCGCCTGGGGGGGGGGATGTGGAAGGCATTCAGGCTTAATTCGGGGAACTGGAGCACAGATCTAATTCCTTAAATCAAGAGCCCCCTCACCAACATCAAGGAACCTTCCTTGAGGGGAGGGAAGTTTGTTGAAGTTAAGTAATTGACAGTCCAAGGGCGTAATGTATTATGGTAGTGTTTCAAAGAGTATATGTATATAGTTTTGTTAAATCATCAATTGTAATATGCATTTGAAGACGTGGTAGATTGAGTTGATATATTGGAAAGTGGTAAACTGATAAGTGTAACAGGGATGGAATTTACCAAGTATGTATTGTAGTGATTTTATATTTATTTTTTAGGGTTTGTGACAGTAGTGGTGAAAGTTTTAATTTACTGGCTTAAAATGCGTGTTATTACAATTAGAACTGTCTGGAAACAAGCAGCAACAGCAACTAGTGCTGTTTTTGTCTAGTGTTTTTTATATACACATGTATTACTCATTCAAGTACAGATGGGCCTTTTAGACGTTTGCATACTTGTTTAAAAATATTAGACGAATTTTTAAATATTTTTGAATGTCACAGAAACAACCTTAAACATGATTATGCGTAAGTTTATTGGTGCATATACAAATAGTTATATATTATGGTATATAGGAGCATTTGTATAGAAAGTTGAACAAATGTATGAAATCATTAGATGACAAATTTTGAAGAGTTTGTGGGTTATAGTCAAAAAGATTACTACAGACGTAATTAGATAATAGGTCTAGGGACTGGGTCTTGAACTTTTGAAAATTAATGACTATTGAATACATTATAGAGTAAAGAGTTACTTACATATCGACGCTTTGTCACAATTTTTGTAAATTTTACTTGTTGGCTGTCACAAATAGGCGTGTACACAGACACCAATAGGCGAGTATATACACAGTATACATACATGGGTAGAAACATTGATATATACGAGTACACAAGTTGAAATGCAAATATACACACACACTTACGTGGTAATATTTTCTAATAGCAGATTAGCGACTAAAATAATGTCTTGAGGCAGACTAATGAGAAGGTAATAATAGTGGTGTTGCGTGGCCGTGGTGGCAAGAGGTTCCTTTATGGTTGTAGCGAGAGATTTTTACTACAACTAATGTGATGTTAACCGCCTGGATCTCGAGTTATCCTGCGAGGTGGTGTATGAAGTGGAGTAGCAGCATTAGTTGTTTTTGTTGTTATTTGAGCGGAGGGTGGAAGGAGCTGCCGGGACCACTTGTGTGTAGCACTAGAATTGTTGAAGTGAGCGTCAATGAGTTGGTTGTTGGCCATTACACGTTTGATTTTAGCTCTGGTGGTGATAACACGAATTAGTTCAGGTAACAAGGTAACGTGCAGTGTAGCGCATTAATATGATGAAGGATAATTAATGGCATTAGTGAGAGGTGTAATGTGGAAGGTGAAGGTGAATTAGATTCAGTTAAAGGATAGTGTTTGCACGGTGAATAAGTTATTTGTTTGTGGAGTTTTCACCAAAGAATATTTTATTTATCGGTATGTAAATATGGTTTGTTAAATTAGTTGTAGGTATAAGAGCAGGGTTTTGATGTTTTTGTCGAGTGTAGGAGTTTGGTGAGTAAATTGTTTGAATTAATGGAGCGGTTTCGATGGGAGGAATTTGAGGTAGTTGTGTTTAGGAGTAGTAGGATATTTAAAATAAATGAATATTTAAATTAAAGGAATTAAAATTGAACGATTATAGAGTTTTAGGTGTTTGTAGGAAACTATCAGTGAGGGTGCAGCATTAGGGTTAAAAAGAGCGGTTATTACCGGGATACCTCAGGGATATATTTAAAAGACAATATTGAAAATGAAGTTGCTAGTAATGGTAAGTGAATTGATGAAAGAGATAGAGGGCAACGAGTGACTAGCTTATTTAAGGTTTACTATACAAATAGGAGTGTAAGGAACTAGATGGATTAGGTAAGATTACTTAAAAGTGTAGGCAATAGATATTATTGGTATAAGAGAGACGTGGTTCAAGTTGAAAGACAGAGAAATGCTTTGTAAATACAACATAGTTATAAAGTATTTGAGAGTGATAGGGTCAAGAGGAATAGTGGTGGAGTGGCGATATATGTCAGAGAATTTAAATTCTTAGACATGATATAAGATTAGAAAGATGGAACACAGAATGTTTGTTTATTTTTCGAGGGACGTGATAAATTATTAATTTTGGGTGTGATTTATAGGCTCCCCCAAACATTAATAGGGAGTATAGTAAGGTATTATGGGAGGAAATTGATAAGGCATGTAGATATGAAAATGTTTTGATAATGGGAGATTTTAACTTGTTCCAAATTAATTGGAACAAGATGAGAGGAAATGTTGAGTCTAGTGAGTTTTTTTTGACGTGGTTCAGGATTATTTTTTAGAACAGGTTGTGAAAGAACCAATTAGAGGAAAGAATGTGTTTGTTTTATTTTTATCAAGAAAGATTAATTAATAATGTTGAGGTTAATGATGAGTTTGGGGAAAGTGATGACAAATGACTGTTTGAATATATCATGGAATTACACAAATAAGTAATTGCAATAAAATATGTGTGTCTTACATTTTCGCTTGGCCGACTTGATGAGACTGAAAAATGACGTGGGTGTGATAAATTTTTAATGTGCTGACTATGGGGTCAGGTAAGTGTTGTTTGCTATCAATATGACCATTTGTCAGAAAAGTTGTAGGTGCTCAGACAGGTTTTGTTTAGAGTAGGGAAATTAATGCAAGAAAATGATGGTAAATGGATAAAGAATAGATTAAAACATGTCATTGGTGAAAAGAGAGGCATATATAGTCGTATAAAATGAGGGGATGGGCATTTTAGAAATGAATATATTCAATTAAAGAGGAATCGAGAAAGTACTAAGAAAAGTCAAAAGGGATTGTTAGGTTAAGGTGGCAAGGGATTCAAAGACTAACCGAAAAGTGTTATTGTTTCAGGTATATAGAAGTAAGATTAGGGACAAGATTGGCTCATTTGAGAGTAACTGGTCAGATGAGTGAGTGATAAGGATGTGTGTGAAGTTGTAAATGCCTACTTTCTGTGATTTTTCACCCAGGAAAATATTAGTTAAATTCCTGAAATAATAGATTATGTAGACTAGGATAATAAAGTATGTACGATTACTATAACTAGTGATGTGGTCCTCAGACAACTGGAGAAGGTATAACTTAAGAAATCGGCAGGTCCTGATTAACTGTTTGGATTATTATTATTATTATAATCAAGGGGGAAGCGCTAAACCCGGAGGATTATACAGCGCCTGGGGGGGGGGATATGTGGAAGGCATTCAGGCTTAATTCGGGGAACTGGAGCACAGATCCAATTCCCTAAATCAAGAGCCCCTCACCAACATCAAGGAACCTTCCTTGAGGGGTTAACTGTTTGGAAAGGTGTTAAAGAAATATAAAGAGGAACTTTGCCTGCACTTGGCTAATATTTTTAACATATCGTTACAAATTGGCATAGTGCTTGATAAGTTGAAAATGGCAAATATAATGGGTATTTATAAGGCAGGTGAGAGGTCTTTGGCTTGTAATTATAGACCAATAGTAATTAAAAACAAATTTCATTTACGACTTTATATCAATCAGCGATATAGACTTTAAGTACATGTAATAAAATATGTTTGAGCAGTACACCCCCCCCCCCCTCCTCCTTCTCTTTGACCGTAGATACCATTGTTGATTGAACGCAAGAACGAATAACCCAAATTTAAACTTGGAATATAGTAGTAGTATCTTGTTGACAATAAGAAATTTCCTTTTTATTATAAGATGCATAGATTATGTCAACATGACCAATGATATTTAGAGAAAAATAATACATTTTGAAGTTATTACGACTATAAGTAAAAACCGTTTATATAATTATAGATGCCGTTATCTATGAGATCATACGTAAGATATTCACGTCCTCGCATGTTGTCATATGTACGAAAGTTGATACGTAATATCATATGATTGTTGAAAATTTGTATTGAGAGGAGTTATCAATGTGATACATGCTCATTAAGTTAAATAAGATTATAAAAATAGGGTCTAAATAAATTTATTAAGCCTCGTCGCATTTACATGTGCAATATACACATTAATTAAGGATATTTTTATGCAGGTGAAGTACGCACTACTTCTTCCCCGTCTATATAACTCGGATCACATTAGACGTGGTTATAGTAATGTTTATTGAACACTGACAAATAACCATCCAATTATAATTTAATATTAGGATATGATATCTTTGAGGAAGAATGTTTGCAATAGTTTAATATGCATACTTTTATGCTTACATTATTGACTGATTTTATAAATGTTGTCGTTGAGGTCAGATTTATTAATTTGAGAAGGTAATAACTTGTCACGTGCATTGTAAGTAGGTATTACATTTGTCATCTTCGACTTGTCAGGAAGTTTGACAGTTTTTAGTGATATGTTGAAGAATAGGTAAAGGTATGCTAATTATATAAAATATATATATATATATATATATATATAATATATATATATATATATATATATATATATATATATATTGAAGAAAAATTGCAAATTAATATTTGAGGGTATGTGGATTTATTTATATTTTGTGTATTTATGTGATTACCATGTTTGTTGTTATCGTAATGTTGCATAATTTATCGTCGTATTGTACATGTGTTATTTGAGGAATATGGGTGTTAATTTCTTTGGTGAAAATTGAGGAATTAGGTATTGAGAAATTTGTGTTCTTGTCAATGCGAGTGATGTGAGCAGAGTTGGTTTTTGTTATTAATTGGGTCTGTATGTTGTCGGTAATATTTTGTATATGTGAAAGAAATATTTTTGGTTAGTATTTGTTTGAATATCTTGTGACTTTAGCCTGATTGATAGTCCCTTTTTTGTTTTAGTAATTTGTTTATATGTTGAATACATTAATTTGTGTCGATTTCCTCTTTTGATGTGTATATATATGTCTGTGTTCGTTTTCACCAATGAGAAGTTTTAATTTATTGTTGATTCATTTGGGAATAATAATTTTATTTAATTTTCCAAGTGTGAATAAAAGTTGTCTATGCAGGTAGAAGTATTCTTTGAAAAAGTTGATATTGGCAAGCGAGATAACGTATCTATGTATTTGAGCCATAGTCAGGACATGTTAATTTTCGAGTCATATGAAGTGGATGAAGTGAAAATGTTTGATCGAAGGAGATTTGATTGTAGTTGTTTTGGATCATTTTGGCCAAGGTCATGATTCAGTAAGGTTAAGAATATGAATTATTTAATTTTATATTTTAGAATTTTTGAAAAAACAACCATGAAGAGTATAAATCAATAAAGTAAGTTAGTTAATTGATTTTATTTTCTCGTGTGATAATGGTAGTGAATTTATGTAAAGTTGAAATATTGCATTGTAATGATTTTGATATGTAGAAGACTTATGAAATTCGTCGCATAAGAGATTACTTGACTGTTGTCTATCAAAGTTTTAGTACCTATAAATGACATGGAAAATGACTGAATTTTTTAGGACAATTGAGAAAATGTAGCCAAGCCGAATATGTGTTTATTTGATATTTATAATGTTATATCATGTGTAAGAAGAAATAAAGTAATGCGAGACAGATGGATACGGCAGCAGCGTTGCTATAAGTGTGGAATAGTTTATAACGGTGTATGTCGCATTGCAAAGGCGTTTGTGTTTGAGGTTGAAATGGGCGTGTTCTATTAATGTGTGTTTTTTATTTTTATTTAAGGACACGGTATACAATCTACATGTTATACATAAAACTTAACCCCCCCCCCCTCCCGAAAAAAAAAAGTCTCGACTCAGAAAAAACAAGCTTAACTATGAATGAAACGGAAGAACCTACACATGAGCATTCCTTAACCACAAAAAAAAAGCTACAAAACCTATTACACTTGTGCATATTTTGTATGAAAACTTTATATACAAAACATTATACACCAAATCATTTCTCAAAATATTTTGTATAGTAACATGTTAAGTACATCGATTCTCGGAAACTTAAACCCCCTGACAGTGTTTTCGGGGAGACTAAATCGTACTCCCCACGTCTCATATAACCGAAATACACATCATATAGAACTTTACATACTGTATAATAAATGATAAATGATAAGAAAAAAATTTCTAAGATGTGTGCATCGTCCCATCTCCCACAAGGCACAGAGTATGAACAGGTGAAATATACACTTCATCCGTGTATGTATATACGTTCTTACCTCATTAACTTCCAAACGAGAAGGAATACTGAATAGGTTAATGTACAATGCCCTCTTACACAGAATATTTAACATTGACAAAGTTGACATAATATAGGAAATACACGAGTTTTGTGCACGTATACACCTCGCCCGTACTATAGTAGTTAAATAGAATAAGAATCAAAACATTAGTGTCGGGGGTAACCAAAAGAAACCCTGCATCTTTTACAACAGAAATAATTCTTAGCTCATTTCCTAAATATTTTTAGTTTTCTCCTTTGAACAACACACAC